GCGAAACTAACTTCTAAGGTTTCCATGCTCGCTTTTGAAGATGGGAATCACTACTCAGACGTCATGAGTGATTTAATCTGGCTGATTTATCTAGGTTGAATTGTAGTTGTTTGCCCTACCCTAGGTTTACTATCCGTCCAAGGCTCCGATCATACTTTGCGCTGAGGAGGAAGTCGTTTTGAGTGAATATCGAAAAGGAACATGTAGGTGTGCGAAAAGGAAGGTGTAGGAAAGTGATGTGGCGTTTTGAGAGAATCGACGTTTTCGAGAAAATCGGCCTTTTTAGCGAATCGACACGTCTGGCGAATCGTTGTTTTCGCATTGATACCTATAGTGTCCTCTTCGCGTGTTCTCCCAGGAGCCGATTTTCCCAAGTCTCAAAGTACGGGTATAACTTGAGGGCCCCCGCGAAGCAGAAACTCAGTTTCCTTTTATTCTCTCCCCCCCCCTTAAAAATCATAAACTCAAATTCATTCTCAGTGTAAATCGTTAGTTTATTCTGCCCCTTACAAGGCTGTTAAAGTATTGACTGAATCGTCGTTTTAATGACCTGTGTGTGTTTTGAGGGTTAGATTACGCTATACTCCACCCACCAATCGCCCCGTTAACCTAGCGGTTCCAACATCCTGTCCCTTAACAAGACTTGAATATCGAACACCGTCGAACTCAAGACGGTCCCAGCATCTAACCATAAGCGGCAAGAAAAGATATTTTAATCGTTATTATTATCAGTTAATTATGGGGAACAACCTTTCAGCACGCACAAGGGAGATCCTGGTGATCTCTTTGATTTGCTTCGAAATGCAACCTATATTGATTTATTTATGCCCCAGTAGACGCGCTAACAATACATATAATCAAAGTCTTAGTGGGAAGACAACATGCGCTCCCTAAATTTTTTTCGGCTTCATTTTTCATGTTGTCGTTATTTGTTTTTTATTCTTATCGCGCCACCCGCTAAATGAGTTGGTTTCTTTTTCCAAGACATGCGGCGCTTTCTGGAGAATATGTCAATGAATGAGTAGTAAAAAAATAGGTAGTGCCCAACTACTCTCTTCGTAGACTTCGGCATTGTTGTTACTTTTGTTTAATTCTTCTGTGCGCACGTGGTTGGTAGGTGGAACTTTTATTATGGCCTGATCTAGTCGAAACGTCAGGCCATAATAAAAGTTCCATCTACCAACCTCGTGTGCACAGAAGAATTAAACAAACGTAGTAAAAAATGAATAATTTTGTGAGCAAATCAATAGTTTCTGCATTACAGGGAAATATGAAGTGTCTACAGGAGCCGATTCATCTGTGTGTATCAGCCATGGCAAGGCTGTGGTCGAGGTCTGTATTTTTTTCCCAATGAGTTCGGTTCTGCTCGGGTGGATGGTGCGTTGAAGCCGTGTCACTCCTGGTGGGATGAACAGATATCCCTCTATTGGTTTGAAATTAGTCAATGTTGTAGGATCGATACCTCACACCCATCCATTGTAATCGAAATTTCGTTTTTTCGCCAGTTCTTTGTTGCCATCGTTTTTCGTGATGCTGTGAGCTTAGTCCACCTTTACTCACGCAGCTTCAAGGCTCGTGAAAGATGGGCTTCCAACCATTTGGCTGCTTAACACGTTCCGGACCACGTGACATACGTGGTGTGTCACAAAATTTTGCCTTTGCGGCTATTCATCAGAACAAGTTTCCGGACACAGGATTTACATATAGTAGCTTAAAAGTGAAAAAAAGGAAATTTCTTATTATCGATGTGAAAAATGATGAGATTATGCGAAGAACCCTGCAAAACGCGGTTTGCCATGTTTTATACCCTTGGAGTGAGTTATTTCTAAAAGGATGTAGAAGAAACCTCTCAATGAAGTCACGGATCTTTGTCTTAAGTGGACCTACTAGCGAATTTCACATTTTTTTGTATATTCAGCAAAATTGTTTTGTGTTCAGGTAACAAATGCTCCCGTTGTCGTGAAGCCGGATTTAAGCATAGCCGGCTACCATTTCACAGCTACTGTAACGAACAAGGAAAAGCCTCTACCGGATGTTCGCCTTACCTTGTATTCAGAGGTTAAGCCAGAAGTAAGTTCTTTTGTTCATTTCTTTTTTTGCCCATTGAAATTTCTTTCCTGGGTTCCAGAAGTTATTTATCGTCGTGAATTTCCCTGAAAGGCCTTTGCGATCATAATCTGAATTAGCGATCGAGAGAATAAAAAGCGGAAATTGTGACTGGATTTTTGTTGTTCTTTCTTTGAAGGGGGAGGGCATTCGAAAGACTTGTTTTGTAAAGCTATGATTTGCGTGACGCGAAATCTTCTTTAGAATTGTGAATTTGGGGCCCAGACGCTTTGGTGATGTTACTCATTTCCTTTACGTAGCACCAGTACTGCCACAGGGATCCCCAAATGTCTCCCATTCAAGGCGCACATCGCCGGATTATCGATTCATAGGTGCTATTGATATTATTACTGCCCTCATCGTCGCCAAACTGGGCGCTGCTTTGCGTCCCGCTGCGACGAATTATACGTTTCGTGTGCTCAAGTGGCTCTAAACTAGTTAGCGCCAAAAGCTGATTACCCGTCTGCCACATGGTCTGCTCAGTGGCAATAGTTTCTGTGAATAAAAGATCGCAGGGGCTTTCCGACTGGAATGAAGGGTTACAGCAACAGGGCCAAGATGGTGCTATGGCCAGAGGAAGCGCTCGCCATGGTTGCGCACTGAGGTCAAACAGGATCGGTTCCCACCAAAATCACCTGATTTTCCGTCGCCCCAGCGTACCTAAATTGGTGCCAGCTCCTCTGGGTGTAGAAAAGGAAGAGGAAAATGAAAGTAGACAAAACACAACGCTTCATCGATTTACGCTGAGTCTTCTTTCTTAAATTGTTATACCAACGAATTCGTAACGGTGAGTTATATCTGCTGGAGATTTAAGGGAAGGCTTTTCTGGCGGTTATCGCTGCAACTTTTTTCTTTTCGAAAATCCTAGTTTATTAAATGCAATGGCAATTTCTTTTCAAGTAGTCGAGTGTTTTTCGGCTACTATATAGCAGGAACATTGAAAGAGGCTTTAGTGAAACGACTGCTTCGGCCCTGCTTATACTGCGTTTTACTACGAATGAACCAGTTGGAGTGGGGGAAGCGAGGGTAAGGTCGATTTGGTGACAGCGTGCAGATGACTTGGAAAAACTGAGCACCCGCATGGCCTGTTCAGTTCCTTTCACACCGATTTCAGCTATTTGATGTCACGATTCTGTAGCGGTTTCGAATAGTTGATCCTCAATTTAATGTTATTACCCGTCACCTGAAGCAGCATTTCTCCATTATAGCTCACTGACTGCAAAGCTATTTCTTCACCGGTGAAAGGTGCCGAATCTGCCAAGTTCTCGTGTCCGATCGGTGCGACGTCAGCTGAAGGTCGTGTTGTGGTACCATGTTTGCCATCAGGAACATATTTCATCACGGCTGAGTACAAAAATGGCGATACGGAGTTCCAGTTCAAACCTTCAGTGCAAAAGCTAGTTGTGAAGGACCGCGCCACCACGGTGGGTTGAACAATGTTCTGCTGGATATATTACTATTACATAACTATGGAAGTAATACACCTTTTTAATGATCTTACGTGGCTATTGTGTGGTTCAGATTTCGTTCTCCGTCAGTGGATTTACAGCACGTGGACGAGTTGTTGTTGGCAATAAAGGAATATCTGGGGCAGAAGTGATTGTACAGGGCAATAAAATAACTGAAACTGATGCCAATGGCTACTATACTCTTCAGGCGCTCACGGTAAGTGTCAAGCACGTTATCGCGTTGAGAATCGCTTTTTTGTTTACGCCCTACAACCATTACAAGCATGATCGGAAGTCCAACAAGACTGCAATGATTTTCCAATATTCTTGATGTATTTAGGAAGGTCCTGTTGAGGTCACAGACTCCCTCACGCCAAATTCAGCACAGTGAAGAGCACCTTGACTCTTCCAAATGTCAGTATTCGAGATGTGGTCGTGGAAGGGTGGGTATTTGTTTATTGTTTATGTTTCATTGTTTATTGTTCTTAGCGTGTGGTACAATGAAGACAATTAGTAAACAAAACCGAAACAAGGTAACAACAATGTAAGTGAACGCAGGAAGAAAATAGACAGCGAACAAACGAAAGACAACTATCAACAAAATGAACAATTGCTAATAAGAATCAAACGGGATGTCTATGGGGAGAGGATGCGAGATACTTGTTCAAAGTGGCTTTAAAGGAAGTAATTTTATTGGTTGACCTCCCTGAGGAGAGTACCCTGTGGAACTCCCGGACAGTGCGATTTAAGAAAAAATGCTGTCTAACGTTACGCCTGGCTCGCTGAACCGCAATTTTATTGACTGGGCCCCTAGTGGTGGTCTCACGAATATCCATTAAAAGTGGCTGGCCTAATACCCGTATAACCATGGAAAATCTTAAAGAGCATTATAAGATCAAATTTACGCCTTCTGAGAGAGAGCGGCTCGAGATTCAGGTTGACATTACGTGCTACATTATCGGGGATCCTGTCATAATGAAACCCAACAGATCTTAGAAAGACCTTCCTCGTGAAGCTATTCTGGATCCTTTCCAACAATTTAACTACACGGGCTTTATAGGGGTTAAAAACTACCGTTCCATATTCAAGCAAGGGTCTGATATAGGTCTTAAAAGCCCTTAGCATACGAACACCCGACTCAGACAACAGGGCTCGGAATAGGTTAAGCATGAGTGCCATAGCTTTCGCGGCAATATTAGAACAATGCTGGTCAAAACTAAGATTCTTGGTAACAAGAAATCCTAGATCCCTAATTTGCGTTAACCCTTTCCAGTTTATATACGCCCAGTCGATGAAGTAAATCGTCTCAAATGGCAGCCCCTGGTCCATAATACCTAGAACTCTTGGTTTTGGTCCCTTCGCCTAAGGGTAAATTCCACCGAGTAGACCAGCGGAACACTTCATCGATGGCCGCTTGGAGTACGACCGCATCATCAAGAGAGCGAATGGGATAGTATAACTTAAAGTCGTCCGCAAAAGCAACGCATTTGACACCCTTTTCGGCCAACTAGATTAGGCAGTTCGAAAGTATATATATTGAATAGGATTGGAGACAGTACACCCCCCTGCGGAACTCCGCTGGACATCTTTCGAGGTTCCGAGAAGACATCATTGACTCGAACAACGTAGGACCTATTGGTAAGAAAGGCTTTCAACCAAAGTATAATTCTGGGGTGAATACCAATTAAGACAAGCTTATTAATGAGCTTTGCATGGGAGACTCTGTCAAATGCCTTGGCGAAGTCAAGATAAATGACATCCGTACACAACCCCTTATCAAGACAGACGGTCCAGTCATTGAGGGATTGAAGCATAGCTGTAATCGGGGACCTACCCTTTTGAAAGCCGTGTTGGGATTCCGAAATTATATGATACTCATCCAGATGACTTATAATTTTTTTCTTAAGAATCTTCTCAAACAACCTCGCGAATATAGATGTGAGGCTGATGGGTCTGTAGTTGTGAGGGCTACTATGGGGCGGCTTCTTGGGTATAGGTGTTACAAATGACATACGCCACCTATCCGGAACCTCAGCGCAGCTAATATTGTAATGTTTTTGATTATCCGTCGGCTCCGTGCGCTTTCAACCATTTTTTGTGCTGACTCATTCGGTACACTAAAATTACGAAATCATGTTGTAAAGATATTGTGGTCGATCTCTGTCCTATGATCCCTCTGTACCAAATGATGAGGGTGCATTGAGCTTATGTGGGTGCTCTACCTCGAAATTTCATCAAGAGGGAACGCAGACCCAGACTTGCGTGGTTCCTCCTCGTCTAGGGATAGGACTTTATAGGGGTTTTCGAAACTATTTTGTTCATGACTTCCTAGGCTTACTGCTTCTTTTGATTCTGTCTATGAGTGCCTACTGCTGCATGAGGGAAACCAAGCAGTGCGTTCCAGACAACCGTATCTGTCGCTATCGCTGTAAGAAGCGCGCTGTGGCGACGCGATGCTAGTCCTTCCATGGGAATGTCAATTTAGCTAAGTTGACCTCACTTAGCACCTTTCCGCCCTCGCCTGTGGGGACACCGGTGAGATCGCCTGTGGGGTGACCTTGCCTAATTGGCTGCGCTGGCTGGTGCCTCTCACCAGCATTTCCAGCTCAGTGAATATTATTGATAAATAGAAGAAAGGGGAAATTCAAGAGTTAGGAGAATTAAAGTCACTTAAAGGTTCAGAAACACACGCTTGAATGGAAAATGGGTCTGCAAAATGTGAAGAACTTACCTTCTACGCTATATGGATGACAGAAGTACTTACGAACTGAGCTACAGGCAAACTAGTTAACAGCAGATGACCTTTCGCACATCATTAGACACCTTGCTTTTGATTCCCTTGTATGAGACCCTCTTCGAAGGTCAATCGTGTCAACAAGTATTTAAGCTTTGTGTCTCAGCATGATTTCAGGCTATTACGGCGACTTTCTCTATTCGGATCTCCTCAGCCATACCTTCTCAGCAGGACCTAGTGCGTCTATGTACAGTACCTATCATGT